GGGGGACGGGACCTGTAAGCACACAAGGAAACAGCAGCTTTACAGGGATGCTCCCCTGCCTTTTGTTTCTACCCTACTGCTGCTGACAGGTTTGTGTCCATCTAGTTAACAGTTCTCTTGGAGCTCTTCTGTTGCAGCATCTCATTGATTCTTTCAGGATGACCTTCTAACCTTTGTCACAGATTAGCACCAAGAGCCAGTACAACTATCCAGTCTGAGTTTCTTCCCTCCATTTAGCCAGTGACATGTGCCCCAGAATGAGATCCGTCAGCCATCCCCACTATGGAACCACCATGCTCTGGCCGCCTTCTGCACCTCAACTATCCCATGAAGTCTCCCAATAGAATAAACAGGCAACACAGAAAGGGTAAGCAGTTTTTTATTTCTGAAATACACCCAGCTCTAGGCTAAGCCACTGACACATCGGCTCTGAGGACTGTGATGCGTTCTGGTATATAAGCTGCTGTCACTATTGACCAGCCTTGAGTGTTTAACATGTTGGGGTTTTTTTTGTTAGGAAGAGATAAGGTTAAAAAAAAAAATAGTGCCAAAACAGAAGCAAGCACAGAAGCAAGCAAGCCTTCAGACTGCCAGCTGCCCCCAATCAACAACTAGATCAGGACAGGGTAGAAGCAATGTTCTGCTGGTGCCAGCTGGTTGTTCTCTCCCTGGCCAGGGAGGAAGGTGAGGCACCCAAGCAGACGCTCAGAGATATCAGCCACTATAAACCACATGGCATTATTGATGCATCTGCAGGTCTCATGAAGGCTGACAGAGGTGTGGGCGATTCCTTCTGGGAGATACTCAAAGACAGTACTGAATGATTGGTGATGTCACCCAACCCTCTGGCTCTTCCTAGTTTGGCATTACAGCTCACAGTATCAGAGACAAAGACTTAGAGTGGGAGCTACCAACTGAAACACCACTTTCCAGAGGGATAAAGCAACCAAAGGAGATGATTTCCATAATCAGCAACATGAGGGCTGATCTGTTCCTGAATGCCTCCAGGATGAAGCATTCTACTTTCACCCATGCTGCAGTCACCTTTGTTACTCCTAGGGTAGATCGTTACAGCACACCTGGCACAGGGCTCACAACCTCCAGGTGAAGCCTGGCTATTTGAATTCTCATGTTAGGAATGAAATGCATCAAGCCCCATGTGATGTGGGGTTCCAAAATGAAAGGTTCACAAACCTTTGTAGACAGTGCTGGGAAGGGGAGAGGAAAGAACACAAAGCAGATTACAAAAGACAAATGCCTTGAGAGAAACTGGGATACAGGTTTTAGCCATGTTGGTCTACGTGCAAAAAATATGCAGAACTCTTGGCAGAGGTGATCTCTTTTATTAGACCAACTAAATTGTTGCAAAAACATTTCTTTTTTTGCAAGCTTTCGGGCTCACTTGCCCTTCCTCAGGCAAAGGAGAACGAACATATTGTAACATTTCTCCTGGATGGAAAGTAAACTTCATATTACACAGGAGAATAAAAAGATGCTCTAGGTTCCCTTGTGTGGAAAAGATCATTTTGTGCAAATTAGGCTTAAATAAAAGTTCAAAGAACGAAGAAAAAATTCAGCACCCAACTTGCCATCAGACAACTTAGAGGTAAACAGACTGCTTGAACTTTTATTTGAGCCTAATCTGCATAAAATGAACTTTTCCACCCAGGGGAACCTAAAACATCTTTTTATTCTCCTGTGCAATATGAAGCTTCATTTTCACCCGGAAGAAGTGTTACAATCTGTGCATTCTCCTCTGCCTGATGAAGGGTGAGTAAACCCAAAAGCTTGCAAATAAAAAAAAAATTGCAACTATTTAAGTGGTCTAATAAAAGATATCACCTCTGCCAAGAGTTCCGCATATTGAGAGAACTGACACCACATGGAATACAAGCAACCATGCTGGGGTGGAAGGAAGTCAAAGCACAGTTGCAAGATGGAGCAACATGCCTGGAATAAAACTGATGATCAGAACAGCTGGAGAAGGCTGCAAAGGACATTGAAAAAAACAACAGAATTCATACATTAACCCCCCCCCCCCCCAAAAAAAAAAAAA